GGCAGTAGCTCTTTTGAATTCTACTGTATAGTGCAATATTAATGTAATATCAGGGGTTTTCAATTCAATGTATAGAATGTGAAGGATGTGTGTTTGTTTTTATTTTCATAGTCATAATGTACACTGAAGATGGTATTTAAGTTCATTGCATGAGGTGCAATGACAATAAAGTAAATTAAACTAAACTAAATTTCTGATGAAAGACCAATTTGCTTTAATAGAAACAATAGGATATACTGTATAGACATACAGATTTCCTACGACATAGTTTCCAGACATTGTAACACAGCTATGACTCTATCAAATTTTGACAAGTCTTATGTTTCAGTTAATAATATCTTTCCCCATAGTCTATCTCAGTGGTGGCTAACCTTTTCATCATCACGTGTTGAAGTGCTCCTTAATGCAATGCACACATGACCCCTCCGCCCCCTGTTTATGTGCATGCAACCACCCCTACACCATGCACCTCTGCACCTCTGCACATGACACAGCCCCATGCGCACCCTGCCCCCTGCACATGCGCATGCATCTATTTATTTTTAATTTTTATTTTATTGTATTTGTCAATTGCTTACAAGATAATAGGTATAAGTAAAAACATAGTTATGCATACATGGATACATATAAGAAAAATAATATATATATAAAAGAAACAATAGAACAGGGATGGTAGGCACATTGGTGTGCTTATGCATTTCCTAAGAGGAAAGGGGTGAGGTCAATAGTAGACAGTCTAAGGTTAACGTTTTTGGAATTTGGGGGAAAAAAACCACAGAGTCAGGTAGAGTATTCCAGACATTGACCACTCTGTTACTGAAGTCGTATTTCCTGCAATCAAGTTTGGTGCGATTAACCTTAACTGATTAACTGCATGCACGTCTCCCTCATGCATGCATGGCAGATACCCGACAATCAGCTGCACGCATGTGCAGTGGATCTGTTCCAGGCTCGTGTGCCGGGAGAAATGTCTCTGCATGCCACTTCGGCATGCGTACCGTAGATTCGCCATCATGGGTCTATGCAATTGACTTCTAGATTATTCTGTATACTTTAGTATTAGTTAAATGATCTTCAGTTTTTTTGTTAAAGAAGTTTTTCTTAAATACTGCATTCTTTGTTCAAATGTAACTTTTGTGTTCCTCCATTTCAAAGTTTATAAAATTTAACATATAGTTATCACTTCATAATTGTCATGAAGATTCTATACTATAAATAAGAAACAAATGTACGTCGTCACTACCACACCATATGCATACATACTCACACACACACACACACACACACAAAGTTCCCATCAAGCAGTTTCTATTCCATATATTTGGTAGGATAACTTTTTAAAAACTAGCCTCCATTCCTTGACCCACTGCTTGGCCCACTGCTTGAAAATCCACAGAACAAAGCATTCATTTTATTGCTTACCTGTAACATTACAATATTGCCATTTCTTATCTTTGTCATAGTTGCTACTTGTAGAACACCAGAGCTTCCCATTATCCATGTCCTCATCAGTACATACACTGTAGAACTTGCCCTTGTAGATGAATGGGAAAACACAAGTTGGATCGTCTTGCTGTGGCTCTGTTCCTATTAAATATTAAAATAAAAAGCAAATGAAGAAAGATATATGGACTTTCCAGAAGAGAAAAAGTTACTGTTGTACCTTCAGATGGCATTTGGCCATCAAATGCCAATGTACAGATATTTCAGTGGCAAAATATGGCCACTGAATATAGAGTCATTAATTCCTGCATTAAATCATGTGTTAAAATAGCTTATTTCCTTAAAGGCGATTTGGAGAAAAGATTTTGTTTCTTTTTTCCCCTTATTTTGTCTCTCTTACCCAATTCCTCTGGACAGAACTTCCATTTCTTGTCAAGATCATAGTTGATAGTAGTGGCACACCAACGTTTCCCATCACGTCGTCCCTCTGTTGTGCAGCTGAAATACAGCTTGCCATTATAGACAAATGGGAAGACACAAGATAGATTCTCCATTTTCTCTTTTGGCTCTAATGTTTAATAGTTAAAACAGAGAAAATGTATAGAGAACATCAGTTGCCCAAAGATAACAGTGCAATGTACAAATTTACAGCCTAAACTTAATGTGCAATGAAGCCAAAATTAGATGTAACAGAAAGCAAGAAGTTGTGTGTGTGTGTGTGTGTGTGTGTGTGTGTGTGTGTGTCAGAGGTGATATTCAGCAGGTTCTGACCAGTTCTGGAGAACCGGTAGCGGAAATTTTGAGTAGTTCAGAGAACCAGAAAATACCATCTCTGACTGGAGATTTTACAGTATACGTCCCCTGCCACGCCTACCAAGCCACACCTACAGAACCACTAGTAAAAAAAGTTGAATCCCACCACTGATATGTACACAGGGAACACTTAAACAACACAATGTAACTCCAAGTTAATCACACTTCTGTGAAATCAAACTGTCCACTTAGGTAGCAACACTGATTGACAATCAATTTCACATGCTGTTGTGCAAATGGAATAGACAACAGGTGGAAAGCATAGGTAGTTAGCAAGACAACCCCAATAAAGGAGTGGTTCTGCAGGTGGCAACCACAGACCACTTCTCAGTTCCTATGCTTTCTGGCTGATGGTTTGGTCACTTTTGAATGCTAGTGGTGCTTTCACTCTAGTGGTAGCATGAAACGGGGTCTACAACCCACACAAGTGGCTCAGTTAGTGCAGCTCATCCAGGATGGCACATCAATGTGAGTTGTGGCAAGAAGGTTTGCTGTGTCTGTCAGCATAGTGTCCAGAGCATGGAGGTGCTACCAGGAGACAGGCCAGTACATCAGGAGATGTGGAGGAGGCTGTAGGAGGGCAACAACCCAGCATCTGGATGGCTACCTCTGCCTTTGTGCAAGGAGGGACAGGAGGAGCACTGCCAGAGCCCTGCAAAATGACCTCCAGTGGCCACAAATGTGCATGTGGCTGCTCAAATGGTCAGAAACAGACTCCATGAGGGTGGTATGAGGGCCCGATGTCCACAGATGGGGGTTGTGCTTACAGCCCAACACCATGCAGGACATTTGGCATTTGCCAGAGAACAGCAAATTCGCCCCTGGCACCCTGTGCTCTTCACAGATGAAAGCAGCTTCACACTGAGCACATGTGACAAGGTCTGGAGATGCCGTGGAGAACGTTCTGCTGCCTGCAACATCCTCCAGCATGACCGGTTTGGCAGTGGGTCAGTAATGGTGTGGGGTGGCATTTCTTTAGGGAGCCGCACAGCCCTACATGTGCTCGCCAGAGGTAGCCTGACTGCCATTAGGTATCAAGATGAGATCCTCAGACCCCTTGCGAGACCATATGCTGGTGCAGTTGGCCCTGGGTTCCTCCAAATGCAAGACAATGTTAGACCTCATGTGGCTGGAGTGTGTTAGCAGTTCCTGCAACACAAAGGCATTTATGCTATGGACTGGCCCGCCCATTCCCCAGACCTGAATCCAATTGAGCACATCTGGAACATCATGTCTCGCTCCATCCACCAACACCACATTGCACCACAGACTATCCAGGAGTTGGGGGGTGCTTTAGTCCAGGTGTGGGAGGAGATCCCTCAGGAGACCATCCGCCACCTCATCAGAAGCATGCCCAGGCATTATAGGGAGGTCATACAGGCATGTGGTGGCCACACACACTACTGAGCCTCCTTTTGACTTGTTTTAAGGACATTGCATCAAAGTTGGATCAGCCTGTAGTGTTTTTTTCCACTTTAATTTTGAGTGTAACTCCAAATCCAGACCTCCATGGGTTACTAAATTTGATTTCCATTGATAATTTTTGTGTGAAGTTGTTGTCAGCACATTCAACTATGTAATGAACAAAGTATTTAATAAGAATATTTCATTCATTCAGATCTAGGATGTCTTATTTTTGTGTTCCCTTTATTTTTTTGATCAGTGTACATATGGACATATATACATATTACACACACACACGCGCGCGTGTGTGTGTGTGTGTGTGTGTGTGTGTGTGTGTGTGTGTATATGGGAGAAACTTATTTATATCTTTTTTCATCCAACTCCAAGACTTTGTAGATTAATCCAGTATCAGAGCATAAGTAGTGATTAGATTCCAGTAGCTAATTTTCTTCTATTTGAGTGACCATTCAAGCAGAAAACTCTCATCATCTATTTTATGTTGGAATTATCTTTCTCCATGTACTTGGGTATTGAACAAAATAAATAATTCTCTTTTTCTCCAACTTACTCCCATCTCACTTATAACTAGAAGAACTGAATGTTCATATATATGGTGCACCTCTCCTAATGACCACAATTGGGACTCACAACTCTATTGCTAAGTGATATAGTTGTTTAGAGACTAATCATATGACTAAGCTGGACTTATAATGCCAGTTCTACTGCAGTTGTTAAGCAAATCATCCACAGTCCTTAAGTGGCACACAATATACCCATGGCTTTTGTCGGCTTCTCCATTGATTCTATTTGTGGGAAGCTGAGCTGTGAACTGCAGAAATGGCAATCATGTGACCATAAGGCTCTGCAATGGTCATAAACACTCACTGGTGTTAAAGGACTCAAATGTTCATCATGTGACTGCAGGAATGCTGCAACAGTTATAAATGCAAGGATCAGTCATAAAGTTATTTTTTCAGTGCTGCTGTGACTATGAACAATTACTAAACAGGGCAGTCATTAAGTGAGATCTACCATAGATCTACTGTATAACCTCTGTAGCTGAATAATTCCTTTATACGGGCACATAAAACTTGACATCTCAAGTGCTGATCATGCAATAAATATAAAAGTCAACCAAAAAATATATGTTCCAAGAACCACAGAAACAATATGCCTGCTTTCTCATGGCCCTATGTCCAAAGTAGCAACTATAATTTCTTATATTTTTAAAAAGTCTCTTATACAAAACAGAGTGTCTGCTTCAGATTATCCATTCATTTTTTAAGATCCTGTCTTAATGTTCTACTCCTTCTCCAACCCCCGCCCCCCACTATCCAACCTCATGTAAACATAACCTCACTCAGCACAAAGAAATAGACAATAAATCCTTTGCATGCCACCATCCTACCAGAAGGTTCACAATAGGTCCATTGAAAGTCAATATCATAGTTCTTGGTAAGGGAGCACCATGGCTTCTTATTAGAAATTCCATCTGTTGTGCATGATGAATAAGACGTGTGGTTGAAGATGAAAGGAAAGACACAGGGTCCCTTAGGATTGGCATCTAATCCTGTGCAAAAACAAATATTAGTTTCCTCTTAGAAGCATATTTAAACAGAGACAAGAAAATATCCCCTTTTTTAAGGGGGGGTTGTAAATTTCATCTAGCCTACACACACACACACACACACACACACACACACACAGAGAGTATATTCAGCATATACAGTGTATACAGTATATATATATATGGGTGTGTGTATATATGTATGTATGTGTGTGTATGTGTGTGTAATATACATATACATGCATACACACACACACATATATTTATATACATCATAAAAAAGAAATCCAGGGCAGCTAAAACATTATTTGCAAAAAGAAATATATATTGTTATCTTTTTCTATCTTTTCTAAAACAGATCAAGTAACAACTCAAATATTAATATTAAGAATATCAGCAACACATCCTTTCTGGGAAAAGAACTGGAAACCGGAAGACAATTAATCCAAAACAAATGAACATTCAGTCAAAATCTTTTGTGAAAAGTCACACTTTCCCAGAATATTTTGGCTTGATACATTTAATTGGACCAAGGATTCTGCGTGGTAGTTGTCATCATAAAAAATAAAATCCTCCCATCCACCTCCACCCCCATTTCCCCAGAGTCTATAAAGAAGGAAGGAGAGGGAGCTCAATGCTGCGAATGGAAACATATTTCTCTTCTTGGCTTTACAAGTTTATATCAGCATCTGAATTAACCCAATAATTAAATCTGGTAATCAGTGCAGATTATGCAAAATGGACATCATAGGGACCAGTTCACAAATCACACTTTACTATACAATCAGAAATTTCTTATATGGATTAGAATTATGAGTGTGGAAATTAGGCCACAATTTTTCGTTTGCTTTCACTTTCAAAACTCCATGGCTAAGCAAGATCCGCTTCCCTCTGCCATTATCTTATAATCTTTTCTGCAACTTTTATATATTGAGTTTTTCTGCTCTCAAATACCAGGTTTCTATTTCCTAATAATTTTTTAATTATTCTTTGTGTCCTTCATATCTAAGGCCAGTTTCTTTCTTTCTTAAAATTTCATGCCCAACTAAATTAATCCTTGCAACTGAAATATCTAAATCATTCTCTCTCTCCAAGTTATACTGTATTCATTTTTAGTCATATTCCTTTAGCAGACGAATTTTCACACATTGCTAAATGTTTTCTAGCAGACAGTTTGTGCCTCTTAGTATTCTCTTACTCTTGAAGAAACACTTAGTCTCCCAGGCCTGAACTAATAATGAAAAGAAGCTTTTGAAATTGGAGTCTTTAAGATCTTGATCTCTTATATCCCTCTGTAACACAAATAATTACAGCATCCAATATCTTGTTCTTACTGGTGTCAGCACAATAGCTCCACTCCAGATCCTTGTCATAGTTTCTTGTGGTGGCACACCAGAATCTTCCCTTCTCCTCTTTGGTACATGTGTAGAATGTCTGGTTTTTGTAGACAAAGGGAAACACACAGGATTTGCCTCCAGAATTGCCTCCATGCTCTGAAAACATGGAAAAAATAGACGTAGATGAAAAGAAAGGTGAACAAGAGATAGTTAACAATTCTGCTTGCTTATATATTTCCTATATTCAATTCTATATCTTGTCTTTTCCATTCATCATTGTCAACTGAGTGATCTAAAGGCAAATAAATGAATTTAGACTTATGTGAAGAAAAACTGATTTAAAAAAAACAAATGGAGTTGGTTAAGATCAAATCAAGAGTGTTATAGAAAGAAACTGAAGAATTTATTCTAGTGGCTCAAGAACAAGATTTGCAAACTAACTGTACTTCACTTAATGAAGGCAAAAATTCAACATGTAATAAACAATAGCAAATGTTGTTTTTGTAGTGAAATTGATGAAACAACTGACCATTTGATCAGCTGCTGAAGCAAAATTTCACAAACTGATTACAAATAACATCATGACCAAGTTTCCAAAATTATTTATTGACAATTTTGTCAGAGCTTTGGATTCAAAGGTAGCAAAAACTATGGGGACTGTCTGGTTGAGAAGGTTTTAGAAAAATTAGTGGGTTAAGATCATATGAGACTTTAAAATCCAAACAAAGAGACATCTTACTAATAATATGCCTGATAGCACAATTATTTAAAAGGAAAAAAAATCTGGTTCATTGAATCTGCTATATTGGTGATGCTAGGATTAAGGAAAAACAGTGGAAAAAAAATACAAAAACCAAGATTTGCAGATTGACGTTTACAGAAAAAGAAATCTGTTGTTATACAAATCATGAGTGGAGCACATAGAACAATACCTAAAACAGTGGTCCCCAACCTTTTTTGTACCAGGGACCAGTTTCACGCAGAAACACTTTTTCAAGGAGGGGGGGGGGAGATACACTTTTTCGGGGAGGGGGAGGAGTCCGAGTTTGGCGGTTTGCTTGCAGACGTTTCATTACCTGACTAGATAACATCTGATGTTGTTACCTAGTCGAGTAATAAAACATCTGCCAGCAAACCACCAAGTTCAGGGAGGCTCAGGACAAGTCCCTGCAGGACGGCTGAGAAGCCCCGCCTCTCAGCCCTGCCTCCCTCAGCCTTATCCCTCAGGTGTCTGCCTCGTTCCTCTCTCAGTCGCTCTCTCGCTCCTCCACCAGCCCAGGTAGAAACTGCTTCAAAGAAGCCGGCAGGGTGGCTTTTCCTTTCGCGCAGCTCCTCCGAAGCGCCCGTTCACCCCCACCCCGCCACCCGCGGTTCAATCCAGTGCTCCGTTCTGCCTGCCTGCCTTCATTTCTAGTTGTTTCGGAGCAGCTTCGGCTGAGTAAAAGAGGCGAATAGTTATTATTCTCGGCCAAAGCTGCTCCGAAACAACCAGAAACGAAGGCAGGCAGGCAGAACGGAGCACTGGATTGAACCGCGGGCGGCGGGGTGGGGGTGAACGGGCGCTTTGGAGGAGCTGCGCCGACAGGAAAAGCCACCCTGCCGGCTTCTTTGAAGCAGTTTCTTCCTGGGCTGGTGGAGGAGCGAGAGAGCGACTGAGAGAGGAACGAGGTGGGAGGAAACCGAAGCCACTGAGCCGGAGAGCAGGACAGGCTTTGGTTGCTTCCTCCCTCCCCTTCTTTCATTTGTGTCCTTGATCCCTGATCCCAGCATCATTCACCGAAGGCGAAGAAAGCCGCCATTTTTATTTTATTTTTATTTTCTTTGCGGCCCGGTACCAAATGATCCACGGACCGGTACCGGTCCGCGGCCCGGTGGTTGGGGACCCCTGACCTAAAAGACTAACTCAATATCTGAAATTATTGCAATTATCATACCCAAATCCCTAATTTTACAAAAAAAAACAACAAAAAACCTTCCACCCTGCTTGGAACTACTTATATTCCTAGATACCACTTTAATAATTCTTAGGTCCTTGGTTAGAATTAAATTATTAAGTTCCCATCAGTTTTAGACAGTGAATCTTTCAATTACAAACAACAACAATAACAATAATAATAATTTGTTAAATCAGTCCGGAAGTTTCTACATTTCGGGATTTTTCAGTTAGAATATTCCACTTCTCAGACTCTTGAATTAGGACAAGATTACTTGTTTTTTAAGGCCAAATTATCCTTTGTCTCTCCTGATCTCTGTTGGATTTAGAAATTACATGAACTGACTACTTTTGGAGGATTACTCTGGCACCTTTTAGTACCTGAGATGAAAGAATGATGCTGCCTCTCCATTTATTCATAAAAGTATTACACTCAAGCAGATAATTTTTCATTCGAGTGCTGCCAATTGGGCATTTTTTCTCATCAGATCTAAGATGAGTTTAGAGAACATAGTACAGACTCCTTGGCACATACCATTGCATTTTCCAGTAATTTATGGTGCCACTGATACCAAATCCCAGCATCTGTTGTAGAGGCAACTACTTTTATCTAATGACAATGTTGTTGCTCTTCTCTCCAGCCAACTATCATGACAACACTTCAGAACACTAGGGATTAGGCCTCTGGATGAGAGGCTTACAACAGTGCCAAACAGTAGCCCTATCTTCTGTGATGTTAATGCTATATTTCATACGTTGCTTAGAAGACATGAGCCAGTTGTTCAAATTTAACCTATAAACTATTGCCCAGAGAAGAAGATAGCGGAGTTCTGGATTATCCATTTCTGATTGGATTCTGGATTACTTACCTTGAAGAACACAGGGCTTCCACAGGCCATCTGTGTCATAATTAGATGTTGTGCTGCACCAGAGCTGCTCATCAATGGCTCCATCTCTAGTGCAAGATGAATATGGCCTCCCATTAAAGACAAATGGGAAGACACAGGAAGAACCTGGAGGGAGAAAAAAAAACTATGATTGAAATGAGGAAACAATCTATTAAAGCCTCAGAATCACAGAATAATAAATAAATGGCTAAAATTCAATTAATATGTTTCTAAATTATGACAAAAACTAAGAGAGGAAAGGGCCAAACCTATATTTCTTTCTGATTAAGTGTTCAGTTAATTGGGTTCATATATGTGCATCCTGAAGTAATATTCCAAAGAAAGAATTATCCAATAACGTTGCCCAGCAAATCCTATCATTTATTTTTTTATCTTTATTTCTTACTCATCCTAAGGGATTGATTCAGTTCCTGTTTTGAGCCCCCAGTTTGGAACTGCAAATCCTAGAAAACTAAAATACATATTAAAAATGTCTGGCATTTCACTGGATGATAAAATGATACAAGAAAAGTGATTGTTCATCTGATACAAGATTTGTAGTTATCAGAGCAGGGATTTTCAGAACTGCATACATGAATTAAATTCTAGGAAGGGTCTAGGACAATTGAACATAGATGTCTTAACATGCCCATTTCTTCTCGGGCACTCCAGCACTGCTGACCCAACATGGGTATTCTTACTCAGCTGTCTCCACCAGCGCTCCTCTGCCGACAGTGTTCAGCCAGTGCTCTTCCCCCCCACCTCTTCATCCCAAGCATTTCACAGGGAGATACTTTTGGCTATATGGGTCATTTAAACGCACATCAAATCTGTACACCGAGGGGTGGGTGGTCTCAGGCTCAGGAAGGCAGGGAATGTTAGTTTGATGTGTATGCAAGGAGAGGAGAAAAACTATAGCCAAGGTAGATGATGGTCAGGGGCAGGGCCTTTTCTTTCCCAGGCTTTCAAGAGGCTGCTTCCCCCACCCCCACCCCAGCAAAATGACAAGGTTAATAACAAGCAGATCTGGCTTTACCATATGATTGCAAAATACTGCACAGTCAATATTTACTTTCAAATAATAATGAGAAAAATTGCTACTGATTCCCAGTTTATTCAAATGATAGGTCTTCAAAGGGAGAATCTTGCAATCACAGCGAGACAAGTGAAGGGGCAAAAAAGCCTGGCTAATTTTGAGTAAACGGGTTAGACACTAACCCTAACCTCCACATCAGTCCTCTCAATAGCCTTCCAGATGATTTACACATACAGAAACTCATGGGAAACTGCTAAGGCTTTCACATCCCAAAAACTTCAGCATTGGGTGAGATGCGATAGGTGAGGAAAAGCAAGTGTTTTTGCTGGTCATGGTCAAGAAGTGAAAATTAGAACCTGATCCTGCCACGCACTGGGCAAAAGGAAGGGGGAGAGGATTTCTCAAAACTAAATGAACACAAGAGAGCTTTCCCCTTTCTCCCACCTCTTTTTTTTTTAACCTCTTCTCACTCCGTCTAGATGCTGCTGGAGAGAAAGAGCAAGGAGGAAAAAGCAGGAAGGGTGTCTGTGTGTATGAGTGTATGAGTGTGAAAGAGAAAGAGAGAGACAGTTGTTGTTGTGTGGATTTTCAAGAAGTGGGACCAGTTAGATCAAGGAATGGAGGCTAGTCTTTAAAAAGCTTCATTAAACAAACAAAAGATATTTGAAGGAGAGAAAGTCATATTAGAAATGTGCATTAGAAATCCCAGCTGCATTAAGATAATGTAAGATGAGATGAGATGAAGAGAAGAGAAGAGAAGAGAAGAGAAGAGAAGAGAAGAGAAGAGAAGAGAAGAGAAGAGAAGAGGAGAACTTTGTCATTTTTTTACTACAAGCATACCAACCCACATTAAAAAATGAAATTCTATTGTCTGCTCTCAAGAGAAAGTGTATACCTACCCAAACACATACATAAGACACACGTACACATGCTGTATACATCCATAAATATATACCAGAAATGTATATATAGATATTCTTAAGTTTTCGCGAAGCCTGATGATGGCAGATGAGATTCTACCAAAACGTTGCTACAACTTTAAAAGCACAACTATACTGATGTGGGAAAATACCCGAACAAAGCTGACAGTAATGCAATATAAAAGGATGGTTACCATCGTCCCTCTATAGAAAGTGGTAAGGACTAGAGTGACACAGAAAATGTAGGCACTACTGAGCCCACTTCAGTAGTTTCTCACTGTTGAGTGACCAAGCTAACCTACTCATTAGTTGCACACCCAGAAACTTGATGCTGCTAACCACCTCCACAAGGTGAATCATTAATAGACGTATATAGCTGTGCTGCCTTTACTGAATCAACAATAATTTCTTAGTTTTTCCTATGTTTAAAATGAGAGTGTTTTTGTTACACTAGATCACTAACCATCTAGTTCCTTGTGGTAAGCAAGCTCATTGTCATCTTGAATATGGCTCTCTATTGTGTATCATCTGCATACTTCACGATATGATTAGTGGTAAACCTAGCACAACAGTCATGGGTCAACAGGGTAAACAACAGCAGACTTAGGACAAAGCCACGAAGAGAACCTGTGATGAAGCAACTTGTGTTCAAAATATTAGTCCCAACTTGCCCACATTGGCCAACTTGCCTATCAATAAGAAAGTCAAGATTCTAGTTGCACAAAGGCATACCGAAGCCTAAAAGGCCCAGTTTGTCTACTAGATGCTGAAGGGTGATTGTGAACTGAAGTCAACAAACAGCATTTGCCCATAAGTATTTCTTTCTTCTAAGTGTGTCAACTTCAGATGGAGAACAGAAGAAATAGCATCCTCTGCAGAGCAATTTAGATGGTTTAAAGCGATTTAGTTAATATGCTAAACTGCCTGGAAATAGATTATTTCTTAACTTTTCCCCATCTTTTAGTCAGCATGGTAGAAGTTGACATTTCACAGACATTAAAAATCCCCAGTACAAATACTTAAAACTTCTTTTAAATCCAATTTATCAAGTAAATTTCCAATTTTTGGTCCTTAATTTGTTTTGCTAAATATAAAACTTAAAAGCCTTTCACAATATAGACCGAAACTGAATCTTGATCTAAAGGAAAGGAAAGTAAGGTGAAAGAATAGGAGAAAAATCTTATAGAAAAAAAGAAAATGCAGAGAGATTACTATTAATAACTCCATGTTATACTGCTTGATTGAAATTTGGAAACTACAGTAGTCCTCAACTTACAACAGTTTGTTTAGTGACTGTTCAAAGTTACAATGGCACTGAAAAAAATGACATGACCATTTTTCACACTTATGACCATTGTAGCATCCCCATGATCACATGGTTTACATTTGGATTCTTGATAACTGACTCACATTTATGATGGTTGCAGTGTCTCAGAATCACATGATCCCCTTTTGCGGCTTTCTAACAAGCAAAGTCAATGGGGAAAACCAGATTCGCTTAACAACTAAGTTATTAATTTAACAACTACAGTGATTCGCTTAACAAATGTGGCAAGAAAAGTCATAAAATGGGGCAAAAGTCACTTAACAAATTTCTCACTTAACAAATTTTGGGCTCAATTGTGGTCATAAGTTGAGGACTACCTGTACATTCTTCCACTCTTAATTTGAGGTCAGCATTGCCCCTTCTTAGAACACACCAATTAAGAACCAACTAAAACCATCTCAGAAATGTACTTGCCTCAATTATACAATTCTTAGCTGCAGCTGTCTGAAAAGATAACTTGAAAAATATTTCCTGTCCTTAAAGAAATGATTTCATTAGGACAAGATGACTAAAGAGGTCTAATGTGGAAGACTAGTATGTTCAATGACATGCCAATACTATTAGCCGAGAAGAAAACAGTAAGAAATGACCAGGAGTGAGAGAGGAGATGAGGAGAAAGATCAAAGACCCATAAGAAAACTGAGGAGGAGAGACTGGAAAAGTTTTCAACAGCATATATGGGATCTAACAGCAGATTGCCCAGGCTCATTCATCTTCTAAAACCCCAGTATCAGTATTACCTTTGCCAGCCAAGAGGACTGGCAGAAGATTGCAGGCAAATAGAAGGCAAAGGAGGCAGGCAACCATTGCTTCTTGTCCACCCAATAATCTGAAGTGAAAGATAAAAATGCTTCCCTCATTATATAACTGCTGTCCCACACTATCTTAAACAAAGTAAAACATTTCCTCCCTTCTGGAGGCATAAAAGCAGAACATTTTTCTCTCGCTTTCTCCCCTGCAAAGCAGCTGTGCTTATTGCCATTATCTCCAGGAACTTTCAGATCACCATGCACTGATGATCACATGAAATCATGACATGGATTGTGATTCCATAGCTGCCCAGTAATCACATTTACTCCAGCCAGTTATTCCCAAACTGAGGCTTCTAAAGATGGTTATATAGGTGATGATGGGATATTTAATCCAGCAACATCAAATATCCACAAATTGCTGTAGACAAGTTCTGATTTCAAGTTCATATTATGATCCATTAATGGAGTGTTGGAAAAGCTATATGAGGATAATTCAGACTCCTGAGAGTCTCAAGATATTGTATTTCCAAAGTCTAATCAATAGATCATCCATTGAAAAAGGGAGCTGTTCAGAGAACAAAATAGCAAAAGGTCACCTCAACTTCAGGTGCCAAGTCAACCACATCTCCCATTCAGCAGACCAAAGTGACAAATGATCTTCTGAAATTCTACTTTCTTCCTGTAGGCTGCTATTGTTTCTTGGACTCACAGCTGACTCTGGGGCTTAATGCTCCATGGAATAGTTGGAATCCTCACAACTCCGCTACTACTTAATGATAGCCAACAGCACATTAGATAGCGGTATCAAATATCTTCCCAGACCCCTTGATTTTCCATGATAGACTTTTAGAGAAAAACAGATAAGATTTAAACCTAAACAATAGATTAGACAATTAACATAATATTTCTGAAGCAAATATTGGTCAAGGACTCAACTTTGCCTTAATATAGGTCTTCCTTTTCTTTACTTTTGCATTGTTCTTCTATACATGAGTATAAAGTAAACAATATAATATTGACTACCTTAATTCTATATTGCAGATAGTTAGACATGCTTGATACAACTGTATATTTAGGGAATGGTTAAATGAAAACAGTTCTCTGGTGGCACTAACAGGGATTTTGTTCCAAGGTAGATTGTATAGTCTACATACATGCATGTACATATATGTGGATGCACCACAAACACACACTTCTAGTCTGTGAGTAACAGAAGAAATGTTTATTGATTAAATCTTACTTTAATCAAGTTTTTTAAGTATATCAAGTTATCAATCTATCTAATAGATAATTGGCCTCCCACAAAATATTTAGCTAAAATAATCTAACAACATAAGCAGAGATAGCACTTACAGGATTTCATTGGTTTTATTATCATCATTTGCATAGCAGGGTTTTGAAGGTACAGAGTCTTTAAAGACTGAATACTTGTATTTTCCATGCATCCAAGGATTAAACTCCCTGCCTCAACTCAGAAATTAAACTTTTGGGGATCCTTTTCTAAATAAATTATTTCCATGATTTGATTCCTGGTTTGATCCTTGATTGCAAATATCAGTAACAGAGCACCTTTTATTAATTTGCAAGTGATAATACTTAAAATGAAAGTGTACATTATATAACATGAAATTAGAATCAAGATCTTTTAAATCAATTAACAGGTAAAAACTGTTAGATAATTTTCCACTTTACTGAATCCTGAAAGAGAAGTGTGCAAGTACTCTCCTGGAGTCAGCGGTCCATACGGAGACCCTCTCCCTGTTTTCAGATAATGGAGCTTCTGGCAAAAAGATTATCTTCAAAAGATATCTTCTGCTTTTTGAAATAATCTTATTTAAGTTACATGCAGGGTGAAGTAATCCTTCAGAATTCTTCTGACTGTAAGTGCTGAAAATTATTAATAAAGTTTCCCAACATTTTGAAGGAAAATGAAAAATATGTAACTATATGTTAGCCATGATATAGTTTGAAAATGAAAAGACAATATACCAACTATCCTCCCTCTTTGCAAAAAGGGGGGAAATCTTATTTGTGTGGAAATTATATCAACACCCAACTATTGACTCCCTCTCTTCAAAAAGGTAAGACTTGGCTATAAGAGGTTTACCCATTTTTGCCCTTGTCCTGTGTTTCGGTTCTGAATGCAGAGATGCCAACATTAAATCATATTTCTCATTTCTGTTTTGAACTGATACATGAGTAATAAATATATTTTAATCAGACTAAGTTTTGTATATGACAATGGCTTAAAAATCAGTTGCCCAACTGTTAGGTATTTTGCTAATGAAGACTGAACAATTACTGAACAATTCCTCCACTGGCTCACAATTGTTCCGCAGTAAAAATTTTGCATCTTCTAATGGTAATTATAGTCAGCGTCATTAGGATAATACCAGGATTTTTAGATGGAGAAGGTCCTCTTCCACAGGCCAATGATATCTTGTGGTCTGCCCACAACCTATAAATTCACTCTAAATATTTTTCTGTTACGGACTGTTGTGGACTATTTTCAGTTTCCATTGATAACTTGCAACTTTCTCTATTTGATCTCCTTTACTACAATTTTTGGTAAGAGGGAGATTTTTTATATACAGACACACATTCATAGAGACAGACACACAGACACAGACACATTTATATGTATGTGTGTGCATGTTTATACATACACACAGAAAAAGACAGACACAGACACACACGTATATGTATGTATGTGTGTGTATGTATATATGTGTGTCTGGGAACACACACACACACGTGTGTGTGTGTGTGTGTGTGTGTGTGTGTGTGTGTATGTAGGTCTAGGTGTGTTCGAGTCTTTTCCTGTGTAAGATTAAGAGTATCTTGGCAACGTTTCAGTGAGGTCCCACTCGCCATCCTCAGGCTGGTGATTTCAGCTTCATGCCAGTGCAAGCAGTGTGTGATCAGAACTGCCATCTCTCTATAAATACTGGTGGTGGGGGCTGGTGTGCTGGGCTGGTTGGCCGCACTGCTGCCTCTTGATTGGTTGATGGAGTTGATTTTGGTATAATGGGCTGTGTGATGGCCCTGTGAGTTTTGTTGTGGAGATATCCTGGATCTTGTGCTGTAATCTCCTGGGTCATGTTTTGTAGTGATCTTTTTTCCATTAGCCTCTCATGTTTTAACAGCTTGGGTAATGGGTTGTGTGATGGGCTTGCAAGTTCTTTTGTTGTGGTATCCTGGGTCCAGCATTGTAATCTCCTGGGTCGTTTGTGTTTGATCTCTTTTCCATTAGCCTCCTGTGTTGTAACTGCTTGAGTAATGAGTTGTGTGGTGACCTTGTGAGATTTATTGTTGTGGTATCCTTGGTCTTGTGCTGTGATATCCTGGGTCATTTGCTGTTTTGCAACTTCTTGAGTTCTTGTGGTGTAATTTCCTGAGTTTTCTGATGTGATATCCTGAACAGGTGGCTGTGATGTAGCATTCTGGGTTTTAGTCTGGCTTCGAGTTTGGGGTCTGGGTCTGTGTTCCTGGCATGTGTCAGCTTGTTTGGTTTTGGGGTCAGGGGTGTGACAGCTGGTGAAGCAGCCATGGTCTGGTTTCTGGATGGTGGTTGTCCTTCATTTATAGGATGGACTTGGGCCTGGGTCTGATGAGGGGGATTGGCGGTGGTGTCCCATGTTGTTTCGTGTCTGGTGTTGGTTTTCGTGGCTGGGACTCATTTGTTGGTGATGGCTAGCTTCCAGATGTCAGGTAGGCGGGAGGTGTCATCCTATCTATTCATGTTATGGGGATGTTTCTTCCAGCACCTCTTCCAGCACCTTAAAGCCACAGGACATGAAATTAATTTTGAAGGAACCAAATTAATATCCAACACTGAATACTCCAGCAAGAGAATAATCAGGGAAGCCATCGAGATAGAGAAACACCCCCATAACATGAATAGACAGGACAACACCTCCCTCCTACCAGATATCTGGAAGCTAGCCCTCACCAACAAATGAACACAATACAGAAGCCTGATGATGGCAGATGAGATTCTGCTGAAATGTTGCTACAACTTTAAAAGTACAACTATAATGACGTGGGAAAATATCCGAACAAAGCTGAATATCATACATATAAATACCTGTGAAAACTTAAGAAAAGATATGTGTGTGTGTGTGTGTGTTACAGTTAGGTGTGTGTATGTATCTATACACACACACACATATATACATACACACAGAGTAAAGCCATAAAGGACAACAGGAAAAAATAATCCTCCCTTCAATCAATGCCAAGCAAATATACAAACCTAGCTACTTATTTCAGTGTTATATGGCAAAAAGATGGTGCTATTGAAATTATATCATTTTTACCATGTAATCCCTAGTAGAGCAGCACAGCTTGTGAAAACTGTCTTTTTAGAACTAGAAGTACACCAGGTCAGGAGCCTCCTAAACACGTAATAGATAGCAGCAGAAATGACTCTAATGCAGGAGGTAGGGCAGCTCAAGGACTTCAGTAATTTTGAAACCCTCAGATATCAACCATTTCACAATATCTCTAAATATGCTGGAACTATCTTGCTGCCCTGATGTGCTTGGTGCTTTTAAGCTAACAAAAGAAGTCTCAAGAAAAATTATGAAAGAAATGCAGCCACCTATTTTTTATAAGCAGCTTCCCCTTTCATAACCACTGTTTCTGCATTACAGTGTAATTCCATTAATCCTCTTTCAAGAACAGACAGAAATCTCAAACTAAATTGGAAAAGTGCAAACACGTAGACTTAGAGCCATCCAGATATAAAACTGGAAAAAAATACTTTGGGAGCTACAATAATTGATGGCATTCATTATAATGCATGAGTTTCCTCAAAGTTCCCTGAACAAGAATGAATTTGTAGTTGCATTAGTTGTATTGCAAGAGTTAATTTCATATCTTTTGTGATCTAGGAACAATTATACAGGAACTGCTCATAAGCGCTATGTGCTGAGAGCTCAAAGCATTAGAGACCCCACAGACCCACTTCACAGTCTGGGTCTGGATCTGTTGCTCCCCTCTGGGAGGAGTTTCGAAGTGTTTCTAGAGTCTTTGCCTGGTAAACTCGCAAGA